CAAAGCAGAGCAAATTAGTAACTGAAGACCTACCCTTGACAAAACCATGTTGGGCAGGAGTTATGATACCCTTAAAAGCCGGCGTAATTTTATTAGTAACAATCTCCTCAAAAATCTTACCAATCACGCTCAACTTTGATATTGGGCGATAGTTTTCCACCTTCGCTCTGTCAGAGGTTTTATGCAAAGGAGTGATGAAGCTTAATTTCCATTTATCTGGGAAAGTGCCAGATTTGATTGACCAATTAAAAATTTGGGAGAGTATGGGTGAAATAATGAATCTGCAATTAAATAGAAAATCACGTGGTACGCTGTCAGGTCCTACACCTAATAAAAATAGGATTGGTCCAAGGACACTCCCCTGAGGAACCCCAGTTTCAACGGCTGCCCAATCGGAGATTGCTACTCGACCCTCAACATTCATCCTCACAGCCTGGGTTCTACCTGACAAATATGATACCAGCCACCCGTAAGCTGGGCCTCTTATTCCATAGTGAAAGATTTTATTTGGAAGTATGCTGTGGTTGATGGTATCGAAAGCCTTAGTGAAATCGAAGAAAATACCCACTGATTTCAGCTTTGCATCGAAACCATCCAAAATTGCAGTATACAGGGAGACTATGGCATCCGTTGTAGAGAGCCCAGCTCTGAATCCAAATTGACGGCATGACAGAATGCCAAAAGCGTCCAAAAAAGCGACAAGTCTTCTCCCGAAGGACCTCTCAAAAATCTTAGAGAATACAGACAGCAGCGCAATGGGCCTATAGTTCTCAACCAGCGATGTCTGACCCTTTTTGTGAAGTGGTATCACAATGGCTGCCTTAAGCTCTTAAGGAAAATATCCAAACTGAAAGGACACGTTCAGAAGATAGGTCAGTACAGGGAGAATATTAGAAGCACATTCACACAATAAATTACAAGGAATCTCATCAGCGCCACATGACCTTTTTCCTGAGACAGATTTAATAATCTCATGAGTTTCACTCTCAGTGAGAGGAGACAAGAAAATAGATTGAGATATTCCACTGCACGGCATATTAATGGTTGTAGGTGCCTGAAAATTGTCCAGGAGTTTAGCTACTGATCCGACAAAAAAGTCATTGAAGGTGTTAGCAATGTTCAGACTTCCGGTAACATCCCTGCCGTTTGCTGTAATCTTATCAGGAACAGACTTTGACTTGCAGTTTGAAAAGCCTGTAGTCGAATTAATGATATTCCAAGCGGTTCGCGTAACATTCCTAGAGGTTAATATTTTTTGAGAATTAATAGTTCTCTTAGCAGTGGCTATATTTTTTCTATGATCCCTTAATCTGGCTCTATATGACAAATGCAATTCGGGGTTGTCTAGACATTTTAGTTGGATATGAAGATGTCTCAACTGTTTACCTTCATTGATAATTGAGGGCGTTATCCACGAATTAGACACCCTTTTATTGGGCTTACGTTTAGTTACGCATGGAAAGCATATGTCAAACAGACTGCGAAAAGTGTCGAAAAAATGGGTAAACTTATCTTCTAAATTCAGAGACTCTAGAGCAGACAACCAATCTTCTTTAGATAGTAAGAAGTTAAAATAGTTAATGTTTTCCTGAGAAAAGGATCTGGAAGTAACTGTACAAGATTCGACTGGATCACCACTCACCTGGTGACTCAAATCAAAACTCAAGATCTGTGCTCGGTGGTCCGTAAAAGTCAAATCCAATGTATTAGTCGACACCGGATTTACATTCGTAAATACATTATCAATTAAGGTGCGTGATGTGCCCTGAATTCTAGAAGGTTCAAAAAAGGCTTGTTCAAGACCATACGAGCTGAATGCATTCACAGTGTTCATTGCTTCCCTAGATCTAGAATCAAAATCGTAGTTAAAGTCACCACAAAAAAACATAAAAATACTACGCTTACATACAAACTTCAACAATTTTTCAAGGCAGACACTGAAAGTTAATAAATCAGAACTAGGAGGACGATACAGACAACAAACCAAAATATTCAGATTGTTCATGGTTTTCAACATAGTTGAAGCACACTCAAAATGATTTGACAATGAGAAGTCCTTATCTGCAAGTTGTTTATGAGTACCAAAGTCAGTCCTAACAAAAACTGCCACACCACCAGCATGCGATGAGTCCCTGCAAAAGTAGGCAGCTATCTCATAGTTGTTAAGCTTATAACATGTAGCTTCTGTATTTGTCATCCAGGTTTCAGTGATGCACACAATCTCAGGGTAACCCTCAGAATGCATGAAAAGTTCCAGTTCAGAAGACTTAAGTCGTATGCTCCTGGCATTAAGGTTGACAATTCTTGTTCTGCTCATAGATTCAATTCTTGATTCTGCCTGAATAACCACAAACAAAAAACAACTAATAAGTTCTTGGGATTATATATAGATACACGATTAAAGTTCGACACACATATTGAACAACTAAATAAAAAATTAGCACAGAGCTGTTACATAATCAGATCTCTTGTTCAGGATCTGGGAAAGCAAGCTGCTAGAGCGGCATACTTCTCTCTTATGGAGTCTCATATACGATATGGAATTGCTTTTTGGGGATATTCCACCCAGAAATCGGTCCACTCAGTCTTTGTTCTCCAGTTGCGGGCAGTGCGCTATCTCTGCAAGAAAAGTTGTAGAGAATCGTGTAGACAACTCTTTGTGCAGGAGGAAATACTAACAGTACCATCGTTATTTATCTTAGAATCAGTGTGTCTAATCTTTAGAAAATATTCTGGGACCACTCAAGAAAGAAATTATGACCTAAGACACAATAATCTTCCAGTTCCAATCCCAAAGTCTTCCTTAACAAAAAGTTCGGTGATTTATGAAAGCATTAAAATATACAATCATTTACCAGGAGAGTTGAAAAATATTCAAAATTATAGAATGTTTCGAAATTCTGTGAAAAGCCTTTTAGTGCCTAGAGCCCTCTACAGTATCGCTGAGTATTACGACACTGGATTTTAAATTTTAAATTTAAATCTAAACTTATGAATGTTTCCGTTGTTATTGATATTTGCATTTTTTTTTATTTTTTTGTTTTGTATTTTATATTTGGTTTTTGTATTTTGTGTTTTATAATTTATATTATTTTATGTTTTATACTTTGTATTTTATGGTTATGTTTTTATACACTACATGTTAATGGCTACATGTCCGCACCATTCATAGTGGTGATTGGACAAAGATTTTGGTGAATTTAGTTTGTTTTTTTTTTTTTGTGATTTTATTTTTGTTTTTTTATTCTTTAATAATATTATGACATGTACTTAGTGTAATTCTAGAATTAGGAAATTGCTTTGTCAGTGAGATGCATATTTCTGGACAATAAAGCTTATTTTGATTTGATTTGATTTAAATTGCATAAAATTAAAAAAAAAAACACCTACCGCTTGAAATGTTGTAAGCTGTAAAAATGTCACTTATATAGCCGTCACAGAAATACTTATAGTCATAGAAAAGTGATTTATAAATTCTTAAATAGAACATTCACTGGATTCATCCCCTCCACTTTTTGTTTTAGTTCATGACTACACTGCTGTGCGCCCATATCGCCGTTTCTCAACGTCCCCCTCGTTTTTATTTTAATCTGTGACTTCACCGGTGAGCTAGCTATCTTTATTTACTGGATAGGAAATGACAATGACCGACATAGAATGGTGGATATAAAAACCAGTCATAAAAACGCAGGTCCATTTGAAATCATAAAATAATGCATATGTCATCTGAATTAATTTGTTGAGTGCATCGTCATTGATTGTTTTGAATTCCAAGACTGTGAAAGAATTAATAAGTGCATCACAAGCAGCCGGTTTAAGAGTTGTTGCCACAATGTGTGACCAGGCGGCAAAAAATAAATCGGTCAAAAGCAAATTGCAGCCACAGAGCAGGGAAATCTACATCAAGAACAACACAGAAACAGAAATTTTGGTTTTGTTGGAGATAAACAACCTAGTGCCACTGTATGATGCTCCATAATACATGCTCGAGGGAATTATAAATTACTTGATCAAATATGACAGTCATTCAAACGGAAAAATGGACATTTTCAAAAAGCAAATTGGAAAGTTTTTCAGTTAGCTTATATGAGTCAGATACGCCAAATCATCTAGATTATAGACTATTTTATTCATTAACTAAGACGGTCCTGTCTAGGGCGGAGTATAATCCTTTTTTAGCCAATAAAATTCGACTTACCTGTCAAAGTTTATTTACTTTCACTATCTCGTCTCGTGAAATGAACTTTAGATATTTACCTGCTGCATTTTTGAGATAATGATGCATTCGTAATAAAAAATAGCATATGATATGTGTGTATAAGAGAGCTCCGCTGCGCGTCGTGTTTTGCAATATGTCGCGCTTGCTTTAAAGGCCCTCTTATAGACTTAAGCGGCGTTTCCACAAGCATAGTTTATTGGCGCCAGTGCACATGCCAGTTTGCTGGCATAATAATAGTGGCGCCAATATCTGTTTCCACTTGATATCAAAAACTTTTAACTAGCGCAGTAGAAAAATGAAAAATGGCATCAACTTCAATGGTTCGAGCAGGTATTAATGTTGCTGTGGATATTTTGTTTCCAGAATTATTTCAGAAGACCCAAAACAACAAGAAAAAGAGACATAAACACAAGATCTGGGTACGAAAATGGATTTCACGCAGAAAAGCTCTAGGAGCATCAAATAATTTACTTTCCAAGTTAGCAGATGAAGACCATGAAGCATTTCCAAAGCTTCTTATTCTGCTTTTAGCAGCAGTGATATCAAAACCGCTCAAGAACACGAGAACTCGCACAATATTTCAACACTTATCCTTATAGCATCATCCCGTTTATTCCTGTCTTTGTAACGCAAAAGTTTGTGATTTCACAAACAGGGATGCTCTTCCAGAAACTTTATATGTTCAATTTATTAGATTTGTGGAAACACCGCTTCAAATCATGATATACTATTCTATTGCAAATACATAAATTTGGATGATTAATAAAAAAAATTAAACTACCTCTTTTAATTGCTTAATATCACAGGCTCCGGGTAGATCTTGTTTGTTGGCAAAAATTAGTAACGTGGCTCCACCCAATCTCTGAAAATCAGAATTTTGATAGTCACTATTATGAAATTGCATATGTAATTATTGAAATTATTACCTCTTCTAGTAAGAGAGAATCAAGTTCCTTCTTGCAATCATCCAGTCTTCGTTTGTCGGCACTGTCGACTACCCAAATAAGACCATCTGTGCATTCGAAGTAGTTTCTCCAATAAGATCTCAATGATTTTTGTCCGCCCACATCCCACATGTTGAGTTTGAAGCTGAAATGGTAACATTAATCAAAAAATTGTCTTTTTTGGAAGAAATTGGTGCTGCTGAAAATAATATTAGCCAGTAGCAAAATCACTTACTTTTTGTGTTCTAAAGTTTTGATATTAAAACCCAAAGTGGGCGATATTGTATCAATGGCTTCTCCATTGAATCTTTTGAGAATCGTGGTTTTTCCGGCATTATCCAGGCCTCTGAAATCTGCTGTCAAGGAAAAATTATTGAGAAAATTTCAGCATTAATTTACATTTGAAAAAAAAAAGGATACAATATAAGGATCCTCATTTCCTTTTCTTTTTGTTTGATTTTCTTCAACACGGTTAAAAACCCCATTTTTTTAGCGTAATTTCCAAGGAAAATAGAAAAAGCTTCGCAGTTTAATAAACTTTCAACAACACCCAAACATAAACAACAAAACAAAGTTATTTTTGTGAGGTTAAGTAGAAACTTAAGAACACTAGTGACAAATGACACTTGTTCCAGTACAGGATTTGGTTCGATAACTCGGAGCCGGTTCACAAAATTCACAACAATCTGAACAATCACAGCTTTGGATCGCCGTGACCCATGACACCTCCAGGGTAAAGAGTGACATAAATATTTAACAATTATTTATTCATAATAACATTCATAATAGGTCTGTTCGCAGTGTTCGCACAGAAATCACAAAACCAGTTATAGCGAATTTAATTGGTTGAAAACAGTCAGAAAACTAGTTTCAACCAATAAAATGCACTCTGACTGGTTTGTGATTGCTGTGCGAACAGACCTAATAGCGACCTTTTGATTATTATTTTAATTTTTAAACCTTCAAGCACCCAGTGCGTGCAGTGGCGTAGCAAGGTGGGACGAGGCCCCGGTGCAAATAAATTGCAGGGGCCCCCTAGTAAATAATTCTTTGAAATTTTTAATTTGCTAAACGAGCGTGCAACAGAGACAGAAATAATGAGAATGCCATATACACTTGAGATAAGTCACTATCCAATCCAAAATTGACGCTCATAGAGTTGTGAGATGGTCCTTGGCTAAAGTGATAAGGTGAACATATGATATGGGGGTATTAGAGAATGACTGACTACCTAATTCAGAGTACTTATTTGATACACAATTTTTAACATTTTTCAAGGATTGTCGATTCAGAAGAAGTAAGAAAAGTCAAAATAATTTTCAACATATCCATACCAACCTGTGTAATGTTGATCAACTATTTCGTCAATTACACTTTAAATTTGGTTTCAGAGCTCTCAAATCTGTGGTTGTTCGCGAGTTCATCGAAATGCTTTTTATGTCGGACTTACGTTTTTCTGGAAACACTGGATTATTATTCCACTTTCTTGCTAATTCCGCACTGCTTTCATCTTTAATTTCTTCTCCTCTCAGCTTTAATACGCATTATTTCGAACTTCTTTTAAAACTTTTGCCCCTGTGAGTTTTCGCTAGTGAGTATATTTTTCGTAAAAATTTTTGCCGTGGTTTCGGGGCCCCTTTACCACCGGGGCCCCGGGACGCCGCACCGAATTGCCCAACGATAGCTGCTACGCCACTGAGTGCGTGAAAGTGAAACTTTTTAAGCACTAGTATTTTTACTGATTACTGACTGGTGCTTTAAAGAGTCATTCATTATTCAGAAATTAAAAACACTCTCAACACAATATTTCAATTTTATCGATTTATTATAGTTATTTATTGTGAAAATATACATTTCCACTTATTCCATTCTGCCAGTTATCAAAAGTAGTGATTTTTACATTTTTGACATCATAAAGGAAAGGGTGAGTTCGGCTTTGCACTCCACGGAGCGGAACGGTATGAGGCTGGTATGAGCATGGATATGGTGACGTCATACGCGTTCACAAGCACAGCGCAAAAGAGAACACTCTGAGAGCAAAAACGAACAGGATCATATCGTTTCGAGCGCGCTCAAAGTTTACAGAGTATAAAGCCACGTAAAACCGAACTCAGCCAATGTCGAAGGTAGAAATTGATTATACTCATTTCTCTTTTGTACCAAACCAAGATTGTTTTAGGGGTAAATTTATCAATAGGGAACTTGCAAGTGAACTAAAATTTTCCAAATTTGTTTTAAATCGATAGTTTATACTGCACAATATTTATATGACCAGTTTTCATTTAACTGATACCGCTCTTGTTACACAAAAAGTAATACTAAATTTGAAATAAAAAAATTTCCGCCATAATGCTTCCAGATGGCTACCTTTTGTGACGTCACGATTCCGTAAGCAAACCTGTCAATAGGGAATTTGCAAGTATAAAAAAATTACAGAAGCAGTCCTTTATAATATTCTTCATACATTGCGACAATTTTCACAAAAAGTCAACTTTAACACACTGGAATAACATAAAAATAGCACTGCGTCGCAGGAGTTCGTTTGCTGCGTATTTTGTTGTTTACAAAATCTTAACGTCGCAAGAGCTGTCATGAGATTTCGTGTTTTCGCGCCAAAGTTTTTGATTTGAATTTCATTAATTTTTTTTTCGTACAACGTATAAATTAAAATGGAAAAAAAGAAAAATATGTAAATTACTGATTACTAGGAGTATCTAAAAAAAAATAATTTGGGAAATATGAAAATTCCCTATTACGACCCTGTTCACAGTCTTGATGCGCTTGTGCAGTATAAATAATCCGTTCTTTAATTTTGTTATGCTATTCAACTTCCTGATTCCGTCCAATAATTTCAGTCGGCATCTTTGTCTAACTTAACTGAAAAAAAGAGAGCACTATATCAACCAGTTATACTTCAAAGTCTTTTTGATTAGGCAAACGAAATGTCAAAATATTTATGATGCGATAAGCCCAGCTGCTTTATGTCAAAAGCCACGCAGTTCACCATATTTTCTTGTGTGTGGTGAATGAATACCAAACAAAACAAAGAGCAAGTAGGATGTTGAACTTTTCAAAAATCCTATTTTAAACATTCGCAATGCCGTGGTTTAACAATTTCATACCAGAATCGATAAAAAAAAGTGTCTGTTCGTGCCTGATCAAACGTTACTTGAGTCATTTCATAGAAAACGAAATAACGCGAGATCAGCTAAACTTGGATCTGTACAATGGACGAGCCACAGCAGAAAGAATCAGCCTTGCAGTCGAGGTAATATTTTAATATAAACACTGTATGGCATGTTTCGACGATTTGAATTTTTAATTGTCCTTCCTATTTACGTCTAATATGCCAATTTAAATTTCGAATCGTTTATTATTTGGCAATGGTATGGTGTAATTACAATTGTAGAATGTATTGAGTTTTAAGCACGTTGTTCATTATTCAAAAAAAAAATAACTGCGTAGCACTTGGTGTGTGTTATTCGAATGTACTGCGTAGGGATACTTGAGTTTTGTCTAATCAATCTCATTGCTCATTGCTCAATTAATAATGGAAAAAATTAAAAAAGTACCATATTTTTAATGCAAACATGTTAAGCTTTAACCAAAATAAATCAACCTATTTTTGCTGACATGCTGAAAGACATGATCTTGGAAAAGTATTTGGGCTCGTATTTGGGCAAGCAAGTACAATAGCATAATATTTATATGGACTTCTGTCATTAATCACTTAAACATGCAGAACCCGTGAACCCGTATCCCAATAAAGTTTCACTATTTTTTTTAACCCAAATTAATAGTACATTATACACCTAGGGAATCAAGTGGTACTTTGTATAAGTATAATTTGTCGAGGGATTAAAAAACACTTCAGTCCTGAGGTGTATACACTATTTTTTATGCACTTTATTTCCTGGGGATTAAATAAAACAGGGAATAAAAGGGTACTTTTATTCCCTGTTTCATTTAATCCCCAGGAAATAAAGTAAAAATTTAATCCTGGGGATTAAAAGACCCACTTTAACCTCTTAAAACATGGATTAAAAGGGTACTTTGAATCCCTGAAGTGCATAAACAAAAATACGGTATTATTTTGTTTTCCTACGACCACATACGAAAATGTCAAAATCTGCACTAGTTGGTTCTTTAGAAAGCGCTAAATATCACACGCGTGCCGAAAGTACTTTCAATACGCCTGCTAAAAGTACTTTTTCTACAAACGTCACTAAAAGTGTAATTTTTAACAGATGCCACAGATGCTGTCAGGGTCTAAAATAGTACAACGGTCGAAATTTGATCGTGGCGCCATCTAAGACGAAGATTCAACACTAAAGAGCAATTTTTGCTGTAATTTAGGGCCGAATTTATAGTCGCTCCTTGAGGTTTCCTCAGACCTTAAGGAAGCCTTGAACGTTTAGAATTGACATGACTTACTTGTCAAATATTAGCAAGTGTCCATTCTAAACTCCCGACCTCCAAGGAAGAGTCAAGGAACAACTATAAATTTGGACCTTAGTGATTGACTATCTAATCGGCCTACCAAAATTCAATTCTTGGGAAAACCCAGAATAGGAAAACCTATTATCCACTGATGAGAAAATTTTTGGCTTGATTTTTTCTGCTTTTCCATCCATAGACGCGTTTCGACCTATCAGGTCTCATCAGCATGGCTAGGAAAAACAAATAGACTGTGAGATAGGGGCTGTTTAGTGGAGTAATTTTTTTTTGTCTGGCATTTTGAGGGCTGAATGTGGCTACTAAGCTGATGAGAATATGAGTGATTTTAATGCCGGCCTCCCGTTCGAAAATTTGCAGAAGAAAAAAATTGATTTACATGGAGATTTTTTTTTAATGATCTCAAATTTTCTGGCTTTTAAATAAAAGAATGACATTGATAAATAATTAACCCATGAAAAATATCAGATGCTTTTCAATAACTGAAAAAATGGGGATGGGTGGTAACTTCCAAGAGAAAAGAAAAGAACCTTCCGCGTATACTTTTTGTCTGGCAATCGAGGGAATGAAACCAGTGTGAAGTTAGCACGCCGGCTCCAGCACGCCAAAGAATAAAGTGAGCACGCCATTAGAGCACGCCAAAGTGTAAAAAGTTAGCACGCCGCTCGAGCACGTCAAAAAGTAAAGTTAGCACGCCGCTCAAGCATGCCAAAGTGTGAGTTGGCACACCATTCTAGCACGCCGCAATTTTTTTCCTTTCATTCACGTAAGATGATGTTTCACGTTCAAATTTGGTGGGATGCTTGCTCAAGGGATGCTTTATCATCCCTCAAAAGGAAAATTCCTTACAAGCCGTCGAACTTAGGAAAATCAGCGCTTATATGGAAAAATAATGAAAATTTCATATTTTCTTATTTTTTCTTTAGACTCCTAGATGGTGTTTCAAGTTCAAATTTGGAAGGATGCTTGCTCAAGGGATGCTTCCTTTTGAGGGATGATAAAGCATCCCTTGAGCAAGCATCCCTCCAAATTTGAACGTGAAACACCATCTAGGAGTCTGAAGAAAAAATAGGAAAATATGAAATTTTCATTATTTTTCCATATAAGCGCTGATTTTCCTAAGTTCGACGGCTTGTAAGGAATTTTCCTTTTGATGGATGATAAAGCATCCCTTGAGCAAGCATCCCTCCAAATTTGAACGTGAAACACCATCTAGGAGTCTGAAGAAAAAATAGGAAAATATGAAATTTTCATTATTTTTCCATATAAGCGCTGATTTTCCTAAGTTCGACGGCTTGTAAGGAATTTTCCTTTTGAGGGATGATAAAGCATCCCTTGAGCAAGCATCCCTCCAAATTTGAACGTGAAACACCATCTAGGAGTCTGAAGAAAAAATAGGAAAATATGAAATTTTCATTATTTTTCCATATAAGCGCTGATTTTCCTAAGTTCGACGGCTTGTAAGGAATTTTCCTTTTGAGGGATGATAAAGCATCCCTTGAGCAAGCATCCCTCCAAATTTGAACGTGAAACACCATCTAGGAGTCTGAAGAAAAAATAGGAAAATATGAAATTTTCATTATTTTTCCATATAAGCGCTGATTTTCCTAAGTTCGACGGCTTGTAAGGAATTTTCCTTTTGAGGGATGATAAAGCATCCCTTGAGCAAGCATCCCTCCAAATTTGAACGTGAAACACCATCTAGGAGTCTAAAGAAAAAATAAGAAAATATGAAATTTTCATTATTTTTCCATATAAACGCTGATTTTCCTAAGTTCGACGGCTAGTAAGGAATTTTCCTTTTGAGGGATGATAAAGCATCCCTTGAGCAAGCATCCTTCCAAATTTGAACGTGAAACACCATCTAGGAGTCTGAAGAAAAAATAGGAAAATATGAAATTTTCATTATTTTTCCATATAAGCGCTGATTTTCCTAAGTTCGACGGCTTGTAAGGAATTTTCCTTTTGAGGGATGATAAAGCATCCCTCGAGCAAGCATCCCTTCAAATTTGAACGTGAAACACCATCTAGGAGTCTGAAGAAAAAATAGGAAAATATGAAATTTTCATTATTTTTCCATATAAGCGCTGAATTTCCTAAGTTCGACGGCTTGTAAGGAATTTTCCTTTTGAGAGTTGATAAAGCATCCCTTGAGCAAGCATCCCTCCAAATTTGAACGTGAAACACCATCTAGGAGTCTGAAGAAAAAATAGGAAAATATGAAATTTTCATTATTTTTCCATATAAGCGCTGATTTTCCTAAGTTCGACGGCTTGTAAGGAATTTTCCTTTTGAGGGATGATAAAGCATCCCTTGAGCAAGCATCCCTCCAAATTTGAACGTGAAACACCATCTAGGAGTCTAAAGAAAAAATAAGAAAATATGAAATTTTCATTATTTTTCCATATAAACGCTGATTTTCCTAAGTTCGACGGCTAGTAAGGAATTTTCCTTTTGAGGGATGATAAAGCATCCCTTGAGCAAGCATCCTTCCAAATTTGAACGTGAAACACCATCTAGGAGTCTGAAGAAAAAATAGGAAAATATGAAATTTTCATTATTTTTCCATATAAGCGCTGATTTTCCTAAGTTCGACGGCTTGTAAGGAATTTTCCTTTTGAGGGATGATAAAGCATCCCTCGAGCAAGCATCCCTTCAAATTTGAACGTGAAACACCATCTAGGAGTCTGAAGAAAAAATAGGAAAATATGAAATTTTCATTATTTTTCCATATAAGCGCTGATTTTCCTAAGTTCGACGGCTTGTAAGGAATTTTCCTTTTGAGGGATGATAAAGCATCCCTCGAGCAAGCATCCCTTCAAATTTGAACGTGAAACACCATCTAGGAGTCTGAAGAAAAAATAGGAAAATATGAAATTTTCATTATTTTTCCATATAAGCGCTGATTTTCCTAAGTTCGACGGCTTGTAAGGAATTTTCCTTTTGAGGGATGATAAAGCATCCCTCGAGCAAGCATCCCTTCAAATTTGAACGTGAAACACCATCTAGGAGTCTGAAGAAAAAATAGGAAAATATGAAATTTTCATTATTTTTCCATATAAACGCTGATTTTCCTAAGTTCGACGGCTAGTAAGGAATTTTCCTTTTGAGGGATGATAAAGCATCCCTTGAGCAAGCATCCCTCCAAATTTGAACGTGAAACACCATCTAGGAGTCTGAAGAAAAAATAGGAAAATATGAAATTTTCATTATTTTTCCATATAAGCGCTGATTTTCCTAAGTTCGACGGCTTGTAAGGAATTTTCCTTTTGAGGGATGATAAAGCATCCCTTGAGCAAGCATCCCTCCAAATTTGAACGTGAAACACCATCTAGGAGTCTGAAGAAAAAATAGGAAAATATGAAATTTTCATTATTTTTCCATATAAGCGCTGATTTTCCTAAGTTCGACGGCTTGTAAGGAATTTTCCTTTTGAGGGATGATAAAGCATCCCTTGAGCAAGCATCCCTCCAAATTTGAACGTGAAACACCATCTAGGAGTCTAAAGAAAAAATAAGAAAATATGAAATTTTCATTATTTTTCCATATAAACGCTGATTTTCCTAAGTTCGACGGCTTGTAAGGAATTTTCCTTTTGAGGGATGATAAAGCATCCCTTGAGCAAGCATCCCTCCAAATTTGAACGTGAAACACCATCTAGGAGTCTGAAGAAAAAATAGGAAAATATGAAATTTTCATTATTTTTCCATATAAGCGCTGATTTTCCTAAGTTCGACGGCTTGTAAGGAATTTTCCTTTTGAGGGATGATAAAGCATCCCTTGAGCAAGCATCCCTCCAAATTTGAACGTGAA